CCCAAACAGCTCGATACTGTTCAGCACTACCCCAAACAGCTCGATACTGTTCAGCACTACCCCAAACAGCTCGATACTGTTCAGCACTACCCCAAACAGCTCGATACTGTTCAGCACTACCCCAAACAGCTCGATACTGTTCAGCACTACCCAAAACAGCTCGATACTGTTCAGCACTACCCAAAACAGCTCGATACTGTTCAGCACTACCCCAAACAGCTCGATACTGTTCAGCACTACCCCAAACAGCTCGATACTGTTCAGCACTACCCCAAACAGCTCGATACTGTTCAGCACTACCCCAAACAGCTCGATACTGTTCAGCACTACCCCAAACAGCTCGATACTGTTCAGCACTACCCCAAACAGCTCGATACTGTTCAGCACTACCCCAAACAGCTCGATACTGTTCAGCACTACCCGACACCACGAGTCGCCTGCTTGAATTATAGGTATTCAGAGTTATTTGTTTATAATAATTACCTGCGGGAACCGATATGATGACAAAAAATAACATATAGAAGGGTAGGTATTTTTTCACTTATTGCGCACACAGCACGGAGGTCTGATAAGCCCACTATCATTCAACAAACTTTGAATTAATTACTTTTAATAAATACAATGAAATTCTGATTGTTCGATTTTAGATGCAGTAATATGTAGAGTAAATTATCCTCAAATATTTTGAATTTACTGAATGAAGAAAACATTTTAATTGGCCGCTTTTATCATAAAAAGAAATAAATGAAATAAATAAACGAACAGAGATAAATAAAGAAATTAAATAAATATGATGATAAATAACTTAAACAAACCCACAAAATTTTGAAAACAAAATTATGCTCAGTAGATGTAATATCTCAATGGATGATGTTAATGGTCCCATCTGTCAAATTAAGAAGAATAAAAGATTCCTTTGTTATCATATCTCTAACATGGGTTCTTGATAATTTAATTTCGTAATTGGTTAATTAGTCAAATGGAACATCATTTGATTTGGTGAAATATATGACCAAAAACATGGAATCTAATAAGGAGCCGATCACTTGTCTCACAGTATATGTGTTCGATACTGATTGTCGATGAAGCAGAAGATGCTTAAATTTCTGGAACACCTGGTCTTGTCCTCCATGTAGTTCTTCAAGGGTCTCAGTGCAAATTTTTCTTTTGTTTGTCTGTCCTTCGTTTTATTACTTTGGAGCTAGAGTCTAGATTCGATTTTGTCGACATGCTATCTTGTCGTTTTTTTTCAAAAAAAAAAAAAAAAGAAAAAAACGAAAACACTAAAACAAAAAATAAAAAAAAAAACAAAAAAAGTTATACATTTATTATGAGTTGAAAATAGGTTTTTATGTTTATGTAGTTTTTATACATTAAACACGTTGTATTGACATTTTTCTTCTTCTTTAGTTAAACCTAGAAACAAATACATTTATTTTTTATTTTACTTACAGTATGATAATTGATTTTCCTAGGGGATTTATTTCAGTGTGTGGGGAATCATTATCCACACTTCATATGCTTACGAACTGTTGAAATAAGCATAACATTTATGGAAATAAAATGCCCACGAAATATCAATCTTTTGAAAAAAAAAGAAATAAGCCCCTCGAAAATATATAATTTTGCAATACTTTTTATAGTGAGAAAGAACACTTTTGCATATTTACATCAATGCAAAGAGAGAACACAAATTATCTTATAAATTTGACAAATCTTAAAGCCCGGTACAAAATCACAAAACCAGACATCTGAAGGCGTTGTTTACTTCTGATATTACCTTAAATTCCATGGTAAACTTTCATTTCCATGAAAACCAGCAAACAATGCGACACAAATGACCTTATCTGACATCGAACCTAACCCCCAACCAAATGTCTTGAATGAGGAGCTAACACGTTAGACATTTTAAGAAGGTTTGTGTTATCAATAGTGACAGCTGTAGGTTGCCGCCATTTTATTTAATCACTAGTAATTTGTCACAGGCTAAACTCTCTCTGAACGTTTTTACAGCAAATTTCGTCTGTTAGTGTTAGTAAAAGTTTCTATGTAAATATAACAAGAGGCCCAAGGGGCCTTAACGGTCACCTGAGGAATATATGTCAATAATCTGGGGATTTTAAAATGTTGCAAAAATGTTACAACACTTGTGCAGGACCAAGTGTACAACATCTGTACCAAGTTTGAACATGACCCACCCAATGGTTCTTGAGAGGAAGTCCATAATGTCTTAGCCAAACAGAGGCTAGGGTGGCCATCTTGGATTTTGAATCGCCCAAAAAAGTTAAAACACTTACCAGGACCTTGTGTAGAGCCCCTCCTGGGGCCCCTATTGGGGCCACGCCCTTTTTCTTCGCAAATTTGAAGCGGCTTCCCATGGGGATGCTTTGTGACAAGTTTGGTCAAAATCCATCCACTGGTTCTTGAGAAGTAGTCATTTAATGAAGGTTTTTACATATGGCCCCTTTTACACCCCTTATAGGCCCCAAAGGGTACATTATCACTTTTTTCAACATAATTTCATACGTCCTTCACTAAGGGATGCTTTCTACCAAATTTGGTTGAAATCGGTCAAAGTTGAATTTTCGACCCTTTTGAGCGCCCCCTAGTGGGGCAGTTTTTGACCCAATTTTTTTTTCATTCGCAAACTTTGTAGACCTTGCCATAAGGACCCTAAATATCAAATATGAATATGACTGTTGGTTCAT